TCAACCCCCCCCGCGAAGGGCCCGCCCCTCCCCAGCGAGGGCCCGCCCCTCCCGTCGGCTCACCCAGGTCGCAGCACTGCAGGTGGCTCTTGAGGTGGGCGATGGCTGGCTTGCCCTGCGTGCCGAAGATCTCCACGTGCAGGTGAGCCAGGCCGCAGGCCGCGGACACCGCTAGCCTCAAGGCCAGCTAGGGCTCCAGCGTCTGCCTCTGCAGAAGCGAGCCGTGCTCCTGGTAGTGCGTGATGAGCCACAGCTGCGTTCTCGAGTTGCGGGAGGTCATGTCGGAGGCGATAAAGCCTGTGGGCCGAGGGGCAGGGGGCTCACCAAGGGGCTAGGGGTGAAGGAGGCTGGATGGGTCAGGGTCAGGGCTGGGGTTGGGGACAAAGGACGGACTAGGTCAGAGAAAAGCTGGGGCTGGGGTAGAGGCTGGTCTGGCTTAAGTCAGAGAGGAAGCTGGAGTCAGAGGTTGGGGCAGAGGGCGGGCTGGGTCCTTGAGTGTTAGGTCAGCGTCCAGAGGGGTGTGGTGGTGGTCCAGCCAGAGTGCCGGGGGATGAGAACTGGGGCCCCGGCCTAGCCACCCCACCCCCACCCCAGCCTTGCCTAGGTTGTTGTCGTGTCTGAGCAACACTGTGTTGTAGATCTCAGTCTCCCGGAACCAGGACTGCTCATCCGTTGAGGAGAAGATCTTGACAGCCACACTCTCACTATGCCACAGGCCCCACCACACCTCACTATAGCTGCCCTTTCCTGATCCGGAAGAGGAGGGGGAGGGTTACATGCTGGGCACACGGAGCCCTGGGCACAGTAATCCCCAGAAAAGCCCCCCACTGTGATGCTGCACTGACTCCATCTGCAGAACCTCTCTGATGCTTATGTTTAACTTAATCCAGACCCAAATGTAGCTGGCAGGCCACCCCCGTTTGCCTCTTGTTCCACCCCAGCTCTGGCAGAAGGATCTGGCACTGACCCATCTCCAACCTACTCCCCACCCAGCAGAATTCCCATTCTGACCCATTCTTGGCCTGTGGCTCCAGAGGCCAGCACTACCGTGCACCAGGCCCCCTGGCAGGTAGGCCCCTTGCAATGTGGGTTCTCACACGTGCAGGTCACCGGTGGGCCCCGAGAGGGCTTCACGGGGTCTCCTGGGAGACACACTGGAAGCTCAGCCACTCTGGGCCCAGGTCCCCAGGAGGAGCCTCACACCTAACTCTGTCCACTGCCCCCTCCCTTCTGAGCTCTCAAACAAACCCTTTGAGGCCTTGGTCCTGTAGTTCCATCTTCAGATTATCCTTCCCTCTAGTCCCTTATACCCGCCAGGGGCAGCTGACAGTGTGGGAACCAGGCTTCTGTCCCCTCCCTGATCCTAGGACCTCCCTTCCCAGTTCCAGGTCCAGCCTTGACCCCTAGCCCCAACTCTGAGGGTTCTCCCAGGCCCTCCCTACCAACATCCCCAGATAGAGGCATCTGACAGAGCACAGGCCTGTGGGTTTGGATCAAGAGGACAGCACAGGAGGGTTGAGGT